TATCTGTGGAAGACAGAAGAGAACATCAGATCCCCTGAAACTAGAGTTAGAGTTACAGATGGTTATGAGGCACCTCATGTTGCTGCTGGGGATCAAGCCCAGGTTCTAGGCAAGAACAATACATCACTTAACTGCTCAACTGTTTAGCCAGCTTTCCTTTCTTTTTAATATTTTTATTTTGAAACAGAGTTTGCTAAGTTGCCCAATCTGGCTTAAACTTGTCCTCTTCCTTAGATGGAGTAGTGGGTGTTGTTGGATAATCTTTTTGTACACTGTGAAAATGTGTCTCTGCCAAAGCACCTTCTGATTTGTTTAATAAAGAGATGAATGGCCAATAGCTAGGCAGGAGAGGATAGGTAGGACTTCCAGGCAGAGAGAGATACTCTGGGGAGAAGAGAGGTGGAGTTCACCAGCTAGACATGGGGAAGTTGGATGTATAACATGGAGAAGAGCTAACGAACCACATGACAGAATGTAGATTAATATAAATGGGCTAATTTAAGTTATAAAAGCTAGTTGGGAACAACCCTAAGAGAAGGCCAAGCTTTCATAGTAAGAAGTCTCTGTATCATTATTGGGAGCTGGTGGTCCAAGGAAAGTCCCACTACAAGCTGGGGTTATAGGAATATGACCTCATGTCCAATTAGTGTCAGAAAGCTTTATCATTATGCCTGAGGATCTGTTGAGGATCTTTGTTAACTTTCCTCTACTTCAGGGACATAGCAATGGAGCTCTTAAGGGCAAGAAGACAAAGAGGAACTAAAACTAGGATTTGTAAATTTTCTGCAACAGCAGTGGAAATAACAAAAATTGAAGCTTCTCCCTCATTCACTCTGCTTTAGCTGTTTCTGTAGTAAGCAGCTGTACTTCTTTCTGACTGGAGTCTCTATTAGGTGGCCTTTTCTCCATGACCACATTTGTTGATAGGCTCAGATAACTTTTCTTTTTCTTGCCTGTGAAATCCTGGCTCTATGAATAGTAATAGATTTCTAATATGTTTTGTTGCTAGGAATGGTTGAGACAGAATTCTTAAGCCAGGTCTGGTGGCACATGCTTGTGATTTCCGTACTTAGGAGGCTGAAGCAGGAGGTCAAAGAGTGGCTACATAGTGAGAGAGAGAGAGAGAGAGAGAGAGAGAGAGAGAGAGAGAGAGAGAGAGAGAGAGAGAGAGTTCTGCATGGACCTCATGTTTCTATCTCCCTGCAGAGAAAGAGGCTTAATGTCCTTTATCAAGGATGAGGTTCTCTAAATTCAGGGTCTTGTTGGCATAACCCAGTCCCTCTGTGTGTAAAAATTTTACATGGTTCTCTGCATGTCCTTCTTTTGGGAACTGAGCTTTTATGAAGTAGAATAAAGTGCTGGTGTTCAAAGTATGTTGAATCCATGTACTATCTTCAAAACAACACCTAGTTTTAGATGTGGTTAACATTTTATTTACTTATTCATCATTTATGTGTGTATGCTTTGTATGTGCTAATATGAGTGTACACATACCATGGTGTATGTGTGGAGGCCAGAGGACCTTGGGTGTTGGTCCTTCACTTTCCACCCTGCTGCATACACCAGGCCTGCAAACTGCCAGGGATTCTCTGGTGTCTGCCTCCATCTCCTCACAGAAGCACTGGGATTACTGATGCTCACACACACCACATCCAGCTTTTGTGTTTTCTGGGAGTTTGAACTCATGTCCTCAAATCTATGTGCTATTCTAGTTTCCTTTTGCTGATGTAATAAAACGCTCTGACCAAAAGCAGCTTAGGGGGAAGGAAAGCTACATTACAGTTCTAGAGCACAGTTCATTGAGGGAAGTCAGGGCTAGAACTTGAAGCAGAACCCACTGAGCAGTGCTGCTTGCTGCCTCCCTCTCAGGCTCTCACTTAGTTGCCTTCCTTCCTTCCTCCCTCCCTCCCTCCCTCCCTCCCTTCCTTCTTTTCTTTCTTCCTTTCTATTTATTTTTTTTTCCTTATTTTACATATCGATTCCAGTTCCCTCTCCCTCCCTCTGATTACCCCACCCTCCCATCCTATCCCCCCACTCCACAGGGAGGGTGATGCCTTCCAGGAGGGGTCAACAAAATCTGTCCAGTCATTTGGAGTAGGGACTAGGCCCTCCCTCCTGTCTCTAGGTTAAGGGAGTATCCCTCCATGGGGAATGTGTTCCCAAAGTCCTTCTGTACACCAGGGATACATCCTGGTTCCATTGTCCCTTAGACTGTTCAGGCCTTCTAACTGAGACTCATGTTCAAGGGGGTCTGAGTCGGTCCAATGCTGGCTTCCCAGCTATCAGTCTGGGGGCCCATTAGCTCCTCCTTGTTCAGGTCAGCTGTCTCTATCTGTTTCTGTAGCCTGGTCTTGTCCTCCCTCTCTGAATCTGGGTTCCAGTTTGGCTCAGTGCTTAGCTGTGGGTCTCTGCTTCTGTTTCCATCAGCTACTAGATGAGGACTCTATGATGGTGGATGTGGATTTTAGACATAGAGCGAAGGATCGCCAGCTTATAATCTACACTGCCAGGGAAAACCAGGATACAAGGAGGAACCTAAGAGATTCATACAAGTTCCCTCACAGAAGGGGAAAGGAACAAGATCTCCTGAGCACATTGGGAGTGGGGAGGGGGCAGTGAGTGGAGAGGGAGCTAGGAGAAAGAGAAGGGGAGGAGAGAAAAGCATGTGGGACTAGGAAGATTGAGTCAGGGGAGGAATAGATGAGAGGAGAGAGAGATACCATAAAAGAGGGAGCCATTATAGGTCTGAAGAGAAAACTGACTCTAGAGAAATGTCCAGAGACCTACAAAACTGACCCCCAACTAACAATTTGAGCAACCCTGGAAAGGCTACCATAAATGCCCTTCCCTGATAACGAGATGATGACTAACTTATCCACCATCTTAGCTGCCTTTCTTATCTAGCCCAGGACCACCTGCCTACAGATGGTATCACTCAACAGTGAGTCTAGTCTCCTACATCAATTAACAATCAAGAGAATACCCCATGCCTACAGGCTAACAGACCTAGGCAATTCCTTAACAAAGATATTCCTCTCAGATAACTCCAGGCTATCACACTGGGAATTAAAGCTAACTAGGACACAAAGCAAATGCTTTTGTCCACTGAGCCACCATCATAGACTATTTCATTCTTGCTTTCTGTGTGTGTATGTAATATGTGTGTTTGTGTATACTTGTGTGAGAATGCACCTGTAAGCTAGAGGTTACAGGTTGTTCTTTGTTGTTCTCCACCCTAACTAACTTTCTGGTGTGTGTGTGTGTGTGTGTGTGTGGTACATGCGAGTGTGTAGAAATATGCATATCCTGATGTATACATGTGGAAGCTGGAGTAAAACACTAGTGTCTTCCTCTATTGTCCTCCACCTTATTGCCTCTTACTGAGGTGGAAACTTACTGCAGTAGGCATGATGGCTAACCAGTGAACTCTCAGGATCCACCTGTCTGTGTGTCCCAGTGCTGGGGTTACAGGTATACTCAACAGCCATGCCCAGGTTTGACATGAGCTTCGATATCAGGTCTTCATGAAGAACTAGTGCTCTTTCCCACTGAGCTATCTCCCAGCCCTCCAACTTATTTTATTTTATTTTTTTAAGACAGGCTCTCTCACTGAACCTGGGTTTCAGATTGACTAGATTGGCTGGCTTGCCATGGACTTTCAGGAGTCTCTGTATCTCTGCTCTTCCCCCAGCACTAGGATTATGGACATATGCCACCATGCCAGTCTCTTAGGTAGGATCCAAACTGAGGTCCTGATGCTTATACAACATTTTACTGGCAAGGTCATCTCACCTGCTCCTATATTTATATACTTGATTAAAACAGATTAAGTGCCTAATTGATGTGGGCTTTCACCCAATTAGTTGATACTCTAGTTTGCTTTTTGTTGCTGTGATAAACACCAAAGCCAAAACAACTTGGGGAGGAAAGAATTTGTTTTGTTTACACTTCATCCCATCTGAGGGATATCAAGGCAGGGAATCAAGCAGGAGTGGAAGCAGAAACTATGGAAGAAACTACTTGTTGGCTAGTTCTCAGCCTCTGCCAGCTAGCTTTCTTGTTTTGTTTTGTTTTTGTTTTTCCAGACAGGGTTTCTCTGTGTTACAGTTCTGACTAGCTTTTTTGTACAATTCTGGAGCTCTTGCCTAGGGATGGTACCACCCACCGTGGGCTGGGCCTTCCAATGTCTGTTAAAGAACTGCCTCACAGACTTGTCCATAGGCCAGTATAATCCAGACTATCTCTTAGTTAAGATTTTCTCAGCTAACTCTGGGCTGTGTCAAGTTGGCAGTTGAAGCTAACTAAAAGGAAGAACTCCAGGGATAAAACATGTTTCCTGAAGAGGAAGAAATTCTTCCCCAATACTGCAACATAGAAATTCTGCCTGCCCATCAGATTTCAGACTTGACAGCCTGCACACTTACATGAGCTGACTCCTTAACATAAACCCCTCTCTGGCTGCATATATATCCAATGGGTTCTGTCTCCCTGCAGAGCCCTGGCTAATTTAGGCTGCTAGAGAATTTAGAGAGGATCCTGTGAACATAGTGTTAAAGTCTCCAAATAATGAATGGGAGAGAGTCTGTGGCAGCAATAGCATTAAAAAGGTACAGTAGGGCTGGAGAGATGTCTCATTGGTTAAGAACATTAGCTGGTCTTCCAGAGGTCCTGAGTTCAATTCCCACCAACCACATGATGGCTCACAAACATCTGTAATGAGATCTGGTGCCTTTTTCTGGCCTGCAGGGATACATGCAGAGAGAACATTGTATACATAATAAATAAATAAATCTTTATAAATAAATTAATCTTAATAAATAAAAAGAAGGTACAGTCATTTGATGCATGAGGGTTCTTTCCCTCCACCCTCCCTTTTCTTTGAGACAGGGGTTTCTCTTTGTAACCCTGGATAACTTGGAGCTCACTGTGTATACGAGACAGGCCTCAGAGTCACAGAGATACACATCTGCCCCTGCCTCTGCCTACTGACTGGTGGCCAAATCCCATGTCATCATCTGACTCTTCGGACTCTTCCTTCTTCCTTCTTCTCGTCTTTCTTCTCCTCTGCTGCGGCAGGGGCAAAACTAGCAACAGGAGCTGTAGAGCCAGGGGCAGCAGAAACAGCTACAGCCCCACCAGCAGGAACACTAGCAAGTTTACCAACACCCTGGGCGATGACATCCTCAATGTTTTTTCCATTCAGCTCACTGATGACATTGTTGAGCCGGTCATCGTCAGCCTCAATGCCCACGCTGTCTAGTATCTTCTTAATGTCTTTGGCGCTAGGAGAGGCGTTGCCCCCAAGGGCGGCAAGCAAGTAAGAGGCGACGTAGTGCATGTTGGCTGCTGCGGACAGGCCTCACGCGTGCGACCTTGTCGGCGTCCAGCTGGACGCCTGGAATATGATTTCAACTCAGAATTTCTTGACCTTTGGGTCAAGACTAGTCTTTTTCTTTTCTGGCGTCAGTCGGGGGTAGGGTCAGGGGCGGAGGGTGGTGGAAGTGAGGTTGGGCAGGGTTTGAGACAGGGTTTCTCTGTGTAACAGCTCTAGCTGTCCTTGAACTCTTTCTGTAGACCAAGTTGACCCTGAAGTCACCAAGATCCTCCTTCCTCCGTGTACTGAGTGCAGGGGATTAAAGGGTGTGCCACCCACCTGGTTCAGTCTTCTTTCACGTGTGATATGATTCAGTTCCTCAGGAATTATTCAGATAGAACCAACTGGTTAGAATGAGTTTCTGTCAGCTGTGGAGGGCAATCTGTAGGAAAACTGATGTTGATTTACTCTTTGACACCAGAGTTAGAACATAGCAGCACATATTTTGTTTTTATTTTTTGCTTTTGTTTGTTGGTTCTTTTCTGTAAACAAGAGTCCCAAAAGATTGATTTCAAATATGAAGAATTTAGGATTTTGATTTGCCACAGAAAACATCTTTTTACTTCAAGATGAAAACCAGTTGGAAAGCATCCACGTATATCTTTAGTTGATTTATTCTCATAAGCTTATTATATGCAAAGCTGAGTGGGCAATGGCCCATATGGTTTGATCTTGATGTCACATAGAGGAGCTGTTCTCTTGCTTAAATTACCCAGTGGAAGGATTATATTCATTTCTAATTATGGAAATTTACATTTAGACAACTTTGGGCAATTTCTCCTTTCTGTCCAGTGGACTGTCCAATCTCTGCACACCATGCATTACCCAAACTCCACTCCTGAATACCATCTGCTTCCCCCCAACCCCCTGCTGCCAATACAATCTAAACAGAACTGTTACCTCTCTTACACTAGACCTATTTTTCCTTCTGGGTTTCTCATTTCAGTGAATTATCCCACCATTTGCCAAGTTTTCTTTGTCCTTTTTTTCTTTTTCTTTTCTCTTTTCTTTTTGTTTTTTGTTTTTGTTTTGTTTTGTTTCGTTTTTTTCTAGACAGTGTTTCTCTATAGCCCTGGATGTTCTGGAATTCACCCTGTAGACCAGACTAGCCTCATACTCAAAGAGCTGCCTGCCTCTACTTCCTCAATACTGGAGTTAAAAGCATGCCACCACAGCCTGTGCCAAATTTTCCTGTCTAGAAACCCAAACATTCCTATCACCTACATCTAAGCACTAACTCGTTTTCTGAGTCTTTTTCATCAACAATCCTTGACTCTTATTACTCTCCATGATTATCTGCATATCATGACCACAACTTTCATCAGTTCTATAGACTGTAAGATTGGAGAGTTGGTCCCCTCATCTGTCTTTTCTCACCAGGTAATCAGGGAGGTCTATTTTAGGGACATGACTGACTCCTCTTTTTCAGCTATATGGAATATTCAATGTGTACTCATTGCCCTTAGGATACAGTTAGTGTATAAGGCTACATCTGTGAATCTTGTCTATCTCTGTTCATTTCATCACCCATCCCTGACAATTTCATCCGTCATATGTTTTCTGCTTTCCTGTGCTCTCTTTAGTGCCTGTGCCTCCACACGATGTTTCTCTTATATTAGAACGCCTTTGATTTTGGCTGGCTACTTCAAACTCACTAAGACTCAGGTCAATTGACCACCAACTCCTTTGGTTCTATGCTTGGTCCCCAGCTCATGGTGCTATTTTGAGAAATGGTACAACCTTAGGAGGTGAGGTCAGATGGGAGGAAGTAAGTCACTTAGGATATACCTTGGAAGGTTATGCTTGATCTCTGGTCCTTCTTACTATCTTGTTTCTGTCTACTGTGAGGTAAAGAACCTATTTTACTGGGGTCAGTGATATGGCTCAGGCCATTGTACATGTGTACCCTCAAAAACTTACACATTATAACTTAAAAATTTATTTTAATATACAAAGAACTCAAGAAACGAGTCAACAAAACACCAAATAACCCATTAAAAAATGGGGTACAGAACTGAAGAAAGAATTCTCAATGGAGGAAATCAAAAAGGCTGAAAGACACTTAAGAAAATGCTCCACATCCTTAGCTATCAGGGAAATGCAAATCAAAACAACTTTGAGATACCATCTTACCCCTGCCAGAATGGCTAAAATTAGAAACACCAGTGATGACTTATGTTGGAGAGGATGTGGAGAAAGTGGAACACTCCTCCACTGCTGGTGGGAGTGCAAACTCATGCAGCCATTTTGGAGATCAGTATGGCGGTTCCTCAGGAAAATGGGAATTAGTTTACCACAGGACCCGGCAATCCCCCTCTTAGGCATATACCCAAAGGATTCACATCCATGCAACAAAGACATCTGTTCAACTATGTTTATAGCAGCACTATTTGTAATAGCAAGAACCTGGAAGCAACCTAGATGCCCCTCAATTGAAGAATGGTTAATGAAGATGTGGCACATCTACACAATGGAATACTACTCTGCAGAAAAAAATAATGGTATCTTGAAATTCGCAGGCAAGTGGATGGCACTTGAAGAAACCATCCTGAATGAGGTAACCCAGTCACAAAAAGAGAAACACAGTATGTACTCACTCATATATGGATTTTAGAACTAGATCAAATGATCACCAGCCTATAATTCACATCACCAGAGGAAATAGGATACAAGTTGTATTCTAAGAGATTCATGTAAAGTCCCTCACAGAACTGGGAAGGGACAAGTCCCCCAGAGCTCAGGTAAAGTGGGGGAGGACAGCGAATGGAGAGAGAAGTAGGAGAAAATGAGGGGGAGGAGAGGAAGGCATGTGCGACCAGGAGGATTGAGCCTGGTTAGGAATGGAAAATAGGAAAGAGAGAGAGAGAGAGAGAGAGAGAGAGAGAGAGAGAGAGAGAGAGAGAGAGAGAGAGACAGAGACAGACAGAGACAGAGAGAGAGAACATAAAAGAGGGAGCCAATATTGGTTTGAAGATAAAGTTGAACACAAAGAAAGGTAGAGGGAACTACAAGACTACTCCCAACTAACAATCTCAGCTTCTGTGGAAAGGCTATCATAAATGCCCTTCCTGGAGAGTGAGATCAACAACTAACTTCTCCATGGAGCCCTCAACTAATGCCTGTTGAAAATAGGAGCAAACACCCATACATAAACACTGAACTAGAACCCAGAAGCAGATGGAGAGGACAAGACCATGCGGTAGAAGTACATAGAGACAGCTTACCTGAACAAGGAGGAGCTAAGGGCCACTAGACTGATAGCTGGGAAGCCAGCAGGGGACTGACTCGGACCCCCCTGAATATGGGTCTCAGCCAGAAGGTAGGAGCAGTCTAAGATACCTCAGACAGTGGAGCCAGGATGTATCCCTGGTGCACAGAAGGACTTTGCAAACATATCCCCCATGGAGGGATAACTGCCTTATTCTAGAGATAGGAGAGAAGCCCTAGTCCCTACTTCACAGGACCTGTCAAATCTACATGACCCCAACTGGATGGCATTCCCCTACATATGGTATTGTGGTGGGGGGTTGGGAGGGGAGGGTGGTTAGAGTGCATGTGAGAGGGCAGAGAGGGTAAAAGGGAGGGAAGGAGGAAGGGAGGACTGGAGGGGAGGGAGGGAGAGGGAACTGGGATCGACATGTAAAATAATAAATTAAAAAAAAAAAAAAAAAAAAAAACGCTTTGACTCCAAAATTTAAGTTGAAGAATAAGTTACTGGGGAAAAGGATTTCTATTTTTGTTTCCACAGAAAATGAAAAGATGTGGATTCCTTCCAGACTAATGTGGTTTGATCACACCAGACCGCCTGAAACAGAGTACAAGCTGATCCTACATTCCAAACAGCTGGACAAAAAAGCCCTACAGACTACAGCTAGGATATCTGAATCTTCTTCGAATCCCCCAAGACAGCGCCCCTTACCAGCAGGAAGTAGTTTGGAAAGAACGACGCCCAAATTCCCAAATATTGTGTATAAATGTTTGTTTTCATTTAATTGGACTTTGTTATATAAAATTAAATAAAAAAATGTATTTTAAAATTCCACATCTTCCAACTGCCATGATGATTAATAGAAATTGTGAACCAAATAACTCCTCTTCATTTTAAGATGGCTTTGTCAGGCATTCTGTCACAGTGACGAGAAAGTCAACTGTCTTTGTTAGTTTTTTGTTGTTGTTTTTTGTTTGTTGTTGTTGTTGTTGTTTCGAGATAGGGTCTCTCTAAGTAGCTCTGGCTGTCTCAGAACTCACACTGTAGACCAGGCTGGCCTCAAACTCAGAGACCTCCTGCCTCTGCCTCCTGAGTGCTGGGTTAAAGTCATATCCTACCACACAACAGAAAGTGAACTGAGCCTGGGTGTGACTTGAGCATATATGAGACCATAAGTCTGTTTCCACAGTGACACACTTCCTCCAGAAAGGCTATACTTACTCCTACAAAGCCATACCTCCTAATAGTGCCACTCCCTTTGATCTTTTGGGAGCCAATTTCATTCAAACTGCCACATATTGTAAATAGAATTATTATTATAACTTCCTTTTCATATTGTTCACTGCCTGTATATAGAAGCAACTGTTTGTTGATTTTATATTCTGCAAGATTTTTTTAGTCCTGATAAACTTTTAGTGGAATCTCTATGGTTTATTTCTAATTTTCAGATGTGGCAATATTTTATTTAGTTTTCTTGTATAGTTTCCCTGGCTAGCATTTTCAGTACTGTTATGAATAGAAGTAGCCAAAGGAGATAACTTCATCTTGTTCTTCATCTTAAAAGAAAAGTAATTCACTCTGAAGTTTTCATCTTTGTTACTTATTATCTTGAGGAAGTTTATTAATTTGAGTCTTTACTAATTTCTTTTTTATCATGAGAAGGTAATGACTTATTTTTCAAGTGCTTTTCTACATGAGTGATGTGTTTGTGCCTTCCATGAACACATGTGGTGTACTTACATGCATACAGGCAAAATATTCATATACATAAAATTAAAAATATCTTTAAAATTTATATGT